ATATATGTAGAAATAGCGGTTGTACTGACGGATATGCCGGCGATTAGGACCATGTCACATGGGAAGGGTAAAGGATCGTAGATAGAGTGCGCCTCCTTGACTAATTTCTAGATAAAGACAAAATTATGTAAGGATGCTGGAAAGCCTATGGATAATTCTGAATTTAAAGTTTTTTATAGTATATGTTGCCTAAAATGACAGTCTAAAAAAGTTCTGAATACAGATTTCGAATTCCAATACATTAATTTTGACTACATATAATAATACTATGGCCTTTTCTGTAGACTCTCTGAAGTCCAGTGATGAAAGCTATCTTAGCTAAAGATTTCTTTGAATGAGTGTTTCTAGATTCGATATTTGCTTCTGACAGCCTGATATCAAGTAGTCAAATGCCGAATGGTGATATCAGTTTCCACTTGAAAGTATAGGTGCTAATATGTTTTCAAGCAAAATTAGTTTCTAAGTGAAGATCCATCAGTTTTACTGAAATTGTGATAATAAATTGATCATATAGAAATAGGATTACCGAATTGGATTGCTATCTATGGAAAACTGCTTATTTTAAAAAGTTAGTACAACATATGGAGTCCTAGGAGATATCATACTGGCTTCTTAAACTAAGTAGATAGTACAATATCTTGAGTCTGGTATCAAGTAAACAAATATCGAAAAGCTTTCATTTGGAAATATAGGCATCAATATATTTCCAAGTGAGAAAAACTCTCCAAGTAAAAATACTCCAGTATTACAGAAGTTGTAATGATAAAATACATCACATAGAGACAACAATGGGACAATATCTAATAAGACTCTATGATGTTAACTAACCCAAACGGTTGTCATCTATAAAAAACTTATTAGTTTAAGAAGTCAGTACAACATCATAGAGTCTTATTAGATATTGTCTTGACTTCTTAAACTAGGCAGACAGTACAACATTTTGAGTCTGGTATCAAGTAGACAATTATCGATGAGAGGTATCATCTTTTATTTTGGATATATAGGTACTGATGTGTTTCCAAGTGAAAATCCACCAGTATTACAGAAGTTGACTAGTTTTTTTTATAGATGACAACCGTTTGGGTTAGTTAACATCATAGAGTCTTATTAGATATTGTCTTGACTTCTTGAACTATGCAGACAATATAACATCTTGAATCCTACAAAATGTTGCACTGAATTATTAAGCTAGGTAGCTCTTTCAAGGATCCAACTTAGAATAGTTGTTCTATCACTATTAGGGCTATTTTCATAAATTTTCAAAAACGCTAATATTTTTCAAACTTTGATGAACTTTTAATATTAAACTACTTGTCGTAGGATCGTAATATTTCAGTATGTTCTATGAGATCTATCGTCATTTTTTTTTATAAAAATCGACATTTTTTTAAATAGTTAATTACAAGAAAACGGCTCGGTCAATCTTCACCTAAGACTATTTTTGTCTAAATTCTGATTGCTGCTAAATGTTTCTAAGTTTCTATTTAAATTTTATTTTAAGTAACATATCGTCTCCCAGCTAATTCTTCTGAATTAAAACTAGTATCTATTTGAAGATCTTAAGTTGGCGATCTTAAATAATCAATATTAAAATAATTATTTTATTTTATGTATCTGTTAGTCCGTCTATTATCTTAAACATAATTCAGATAAAAAGTGTCGAAGAATCTGTTGATAAATTCTTTCTGTTTATTCCGTAATAATTCAAAATCGCAATCGTGAAGGTAATAAAACAGCCATGTTAAATAAAATTTGATTTATCGGAAGACAAAGAAAATCGTATTACTCTTTTATGAGATTCTCAGTTAGAGACATCGTTTTTGCAATAAAACGTTTGAAGATTCTGTTATAAAGGACTTTTACACGATAAAAAATTAAATATATTTTTATTGAGAATAATCTTATCATGTGTATAGTGTATATAGATAATTAAAATCAGTCTGTGCATCGAGTTAAGGTGAATTTATCATATGAAAAAATAATTTTATGAAAGACTTTGAAAATTTACTATTGCCCTGATAGTATGATAGTATTTATGGTGATTTGAGTATTCATATAATTTTGTTTTATTATTTTTGATTTTTTTTTGAGAAATTGTATATTTTTGTGACGCATATATCTGTAAAAAATAATTAATAATTAACAAGATTCGAATATATTTTTGTTGTTTTTTAACGCTAGAACCAGTTCTATTGTGGTCCAGCGCGCATGGTATTAAAATCGTTCTTTTTTATTTTAAAGGAAGAATTAAAAATATTCACATCAATAATCCATTTTTTCTGAGTATAGTATAGCGTCGTATTAGCTTAAATATTTCATCATCTCAATTCAGAGCACGTCACATACTAGTACTTCTAAAATCCTCCGACTTTTTTACGACGAGCGTCACCTTCTTACCAATTCTTTCTCAGCCTTAAAAATACTTTTTACGATCCTTCATGCGGAAAGGAGATAAATATGTGTTTTAACAAACAATCGGACGGAAATGTATTTCATGGGTTTTAATCCATCTTTTTATAACAGAGATAAGTGTTTGTTTTTCTCCCAAATGAAAGATACAGTATAGCACTAATTGTAGAAACTATGAGTGGAAATGTGGCCCTTTTTGCGACTAACAATTTTCTATCAAAGTAGTATATTAGTTTTACCTTTATTGTAAAAAATTCATCGCATAAAAATAAGAAATATACTGTATTTTTTCTGAAAAATTTATATTAGTCATTCTATGTGACATCCTCCTAAATTACCTAGTGCATCTTGAACAACTGATGATCAGATTCATATCGTATAATTATAGAAAAAATCATCTATAAGACAAACTCGTATATCAATATTTAAATAACTTGTTCACATCTTGACTATCTATATCTCTAATTGCATGTTATTTTATAAAGAACGCAAATGAAAACTTTAAATTGAAGGATGCAATTGAAAAAAAAATGTTTTTGTATTTTTATCTATTTTTTTAATAAATGCTGTGAAATTTAAGTACTCATGAAAATTTTAGATCAATCGTAAGCTATATTATTTTAAATATAAATTCAAGAAATAAAATATCTTTGCTATTCTGAGCAATTTTTGAGACTTATTCATTCATTTACGAGTTCTGATAATCTTGTATGATTTATAATTTTGAATAATCAGTGTATAGTAACAGGATTAAAAAACTGAAAACTAAGTTATAGGTTTAATTCTAATTCCCAATTTTCAAATAATGAGCGTTTCCATTGATAAACTAGTACAATCATCATAATTTGTATTCAATCTTCTTATATAATCTTAAAATATTTTTTACTAAAATCGATTCACACGTTTTGTAATGATATTGAAATATTCGACAACTTCATTTACAAAAACATAATTATATTCATTACATAAAATGTATTAACAAAACAAAATGATCATCTTTGTAAATGTCATGTTTTTTGTCGTTTTTTCCCTCTCACCGATTGATTGAAAAAAATCGATTGAATCATTCTCGAACGAAAAATATAAACAAATGTATAAATGATACATTACATAGTATTGAAATACTATTATTAACCATGAATAATTATGTCTTTCATAGCATCCATAATGCCAAGGTAAAAATCATCTAATAATAATCTTATTGAAAAGCATTAAAGCGTATCAACATTAAAAATAAAGTGGATATATGACGCATAGAATGAACACATATAAATTAGAATCAAATAAATTATATTAGTTTATTAATTAATAAAGTAAATGATTAACTAGACGATGAAGGATGGGTAATTATAAGTCATTGTACACATTAAGGTAATCAAGATAATACGCGCGCATAAATTAAAGAACAATGAAGATTATTATCAACTTTGCACCGTATTTATATTGTTAATACTTTAATTTGTTATTTTATCCGAAAACCATGATATAATTTGCGAAGGAATACAAGGAAACTTTGGATTAGTCAACTTTTTAATCCTTAAATGTGAAGGTTATTAGTCAAGTTAATAATTTAATTCATTACACACCAACCATGAAAAAAACCTTTTTATACCATCTTTTTCTTTATATTGAATTCAATCGATTATATAAAATATATCGAAACGGCAAACAAATAAAACTGGTAAATAAACAAAAAAATGAGCAAACAAGAGATATTTACCCATTTAACAAATATGAAAAATAACCTTCACCAAAATATTTTTTGAAATTTCACCAAATAATGTTTTTAAAAAATATAATTTTCACATTAACATTTAAGATTTGTCAATGCAATATATATACCGATTTCCTTAAAGCAATATAATCGATTGAAAAAGATCTTTATTTTTTCTGAAAAATTCTATAAAAAAAATTTGTCATCTTCAGTTGTAATTTAATCTGGATCTAGGGGTATGGTGTGGCATTGTGCTTTAAGGCAAATTGCTGGAACTTCCTGTACCAAAAAATGGATTTTTTTAAAAAAGATAAAAAAAAATTAACTTTGAATAATAAGATTTTTGAGAAATTTCATATTTTTGAATAAAATTGTTTTTTTTTTGTAGAAAAAACGTTTTTTGAATAATTCGATAGGTTGAGTGTTCCCGAAATCGTCGACGAAAATTTGTATCCGCACACACATACACATTCACACACACATATATCAATTTTTTCTAAGGTATGACAAAGTGTTCAGAAACCTCTGAAACAAACTTCCATTCACATGCATTCACAAATAGCACAAATTATTTTAATCTAGCAAATTTAAATTAATAATTATTGAATAAATATTATGTTACAAGAATGGACCATTTGAGTCGAATTTCAGCGGAGGTCCAGAATATGGACATAAGATTGTATATTAAAACGTTTGGAAAAGTTAAAGATTTTATAATTATTTTGCTTTTAGCTGATGTACTGCCCTAAAGAACTAGGCACACCTAAGCCATGTATATAGTTCCAAGTTGAATTATTGCTCTTTTAGTTGAATCACTATATGATATAATAACGAATTACATTCTCCATAATTCTTAAACTATATATAATCATTTCAGATGACGAAAACGCAGTTGTTCATGGTTTGGTAACATCAGATGGACTATTCGACGGCACGATCTTATTGTCTTCCGGTGAGATATTTTATATAGAGCCAGTACACAGATATCTCAACAGTTCACATGGCCTGAATGCACTCGGTAAGTTTCGCAAAATATGATTTTATATTAATATTGTTTAGCTACTTTCAGTTCACAAACATAAAACATTATGCAACGCCTAAATCTAACAAAATTACCGATTTCTTAAACTGTAATTTTCAGATATTTCCGAATCAAGATTTCACAGCGCGGTTTATAGGAGTACAGATGTTAGACTTCCACGGACTGAAAAGGGCCATGTATGTGCTTCCGAAATTTTACACCAAAAGAGACTGAATCAAAAGGTAAAAGAATTTATCCATTACCATATATAATCATAAATATTCCTCGTTATAATAATTTAATTTTTATTGCAGAATCTTCCTAGTAATTTTCACCAATATAAAGAAATAGAAAAACACACCAGCAGAAAAAAACGATGGTTACCTGATGACATACATCATATTTCCACACATGTATGAATTTATATACTGGTTTTCAGAATCTTGGTGGATGACATCATTTCTTAGAAAATTTGTTAATAGAACTATAACTTTTATTTAGCAAGAAGCAAATTTTATGAGGTTTTTAAGATCTCACCAAGCTTGAAAGAAATAATAGAATATATCTTGTAAAGTCCAAATATATTAAAATAATATATTTCTTCATATTATCCCACGCATTCAAACCATCTTAGTTCACAAATTACAATAAATAAAAAACATATTTGTTTTGATGACTTTTTACTTTGGGAATTCACCAGTCATTTTTATCTTTGCAGCATGATGATTACCAAGAAGATGAACAGGAAAAAAAGTTATTGAACCCAGAATTGCCATTGGATTTAGATGTTCCTTACACACGAAACATTGACGAAAACATTGACGACAAGGCAAATGCGAAAATATATGATGATAAAGTTGATAAGCAAAATCCCAAACGGCCTGATCATGTGGAGATTATTACTAAAAATAACATAGGTAAATATTTTCGAGATTATTTGATTTAGAGTTTGTTCACATTATAAATGACTTATGTCAATACTTGTTATTACGGTGATTAATCGACCGGATTGTGAAATCTCTTTACTTCCTTTTTTGCAAAATAAAAATTCGAGAAAGTAGCAGGATTTTATTAAAATTGGAACATGACTAAAGTTTGTCCCAAATGGAATTCAAAACAAGATCAATACCATAATTTATTACATACAAATTCTGTTAATAAATAAGTTTTATCTTATTTTTAGTTAATAAAAGGCCCACAGCTACACTTGTAGGAAAGTTTTTTCCCAGTGATTTTATGGATTACAGACAAGCAAGTAAAAGGGCAACGTTTGATCCAAATAAGACTACATGTATGCTGTATCTTCAGGTAAATTATATTTGATAATATATATTGTTTCATAATGTATAAATATAATTTGTAAAATAATTGTTTCATAATATGTAAATATAATTGTTCATTATTTTTCAAATTTCCAGGCCGATCATAAATTTTTAGAAAAATTTCAAACAGAAGAAGCCTGCATAGATATTATGACGCGCCATGTTCAGAGAGTTAATCAAATATATAGGACCACAGGTTTGAAAATTTCTTCAAACTCCTACAAATATTTTTTATATTATTTTGATACCATAATAATCATGGATTTATTCTTTTTATATCAGATTTCAATCAGGATGGCAAACCAGATAATATTACGTTCATGATAAAAAGAATTAAAGTGCATACTCACGAGTCTTTGAAAGATCCTACATACCGATTTGCTGACAACTATGGCGTTGAAAAATATCTAGAACTATTTTCAGGTATCATAAAATACTAAAAAAACATCCAAATGATTTTAAAGTTATATTTAATAAATATCATATTGATTTTTTAATTTTCTATAGAGGAAGATTACGATTCGTTTTGTTTGGCGTACATGTTCACTTATCGAGATTTTGAGATGGGCACCTTAGGACTGGCATGGACAGGTGATCTTAAGAACGCAGGTGGTGTTTGTGAGAAAAATGGGGTCTGTATATAAGAATTTTTATTTTTATTAAACGCAAGAATAAGAATAGATTCTTATGTGATAATTTTTTTTTAGCACTATCGTGGCAGTATGAAATCTTTGAATACTGGAATTGTTACGTTGTTAAATTATGGAAAGCACGTACCACCTTCGGTTTCACACGTGACATTGGCACATGAGATTGGACATAATTTTGGATCACCGGTAAATAATCATAATTAGTCATATTTATAATTAATTTCTGAAGATTAATATTGACAGCCTAAGTGTGTTAGAATAGTGCTCAAGATATGGGAGCGTCCATAAATCCTCGAGGTTTTTAGGGGAAGGAGGGTTTTGAGAAAAAATCACGAATTTCCACGTGGAGAAGGGGAGGGGGTATAGTAAGATACCACGTGTATTTGTTTTTTACCGGATTTGGATCGTTCAAGTATTACGTAAACAGATTAAATTATTTACGTCCCCCCCATCCCCCTTGTAAACAAAAGTAAGCAAAGCTCTTACCTACCCCCATGCTTACGTAAACATTTTGCAATTAATGTAAAAAAATAAAAATACTACCTATGACGTAATCATCATCCACACTCCCCTGCCCCCCATTTCAACCCAAAATAAGCAAATCAACAACCCCCCGCCCCCCTATAGAGCTTACGTAATACTTGAACGGCCCCATTTAAGAAAAAATAAAACACTTTAAAAAAAAATCAAAATTTTACAAATTTTTCTCGTAACTAAAAATCACGTGATGTTTGGTGGGGAGAGAGGGTAATTTTGAATATCACCACGTACCTGCAAGGGGAAGGGGGGTCCAATAATCCTTAAAAAATTGATCACGTGATTAATGGACGAACTGCTTGTGAGTGAAATTTGTTAATACTAGAAATCTTGGATCAATTGTGTCATTATTTTGGAGTGTGGTTCTAGAAATGTTATTTAAGGTTACGGATATAAAACGGTACCAAATAAATAGAAAATAACCACAATAATCGAAAAATGTTTAGAATTTGAACCAAGCTCTTGGATTTACTATTATATATTTGCTACTAACAGCTAATATTTCTCAAAATGAATTGGTTCTGATTTTGTTCATGATAGTTACAATCAATACTGTCTCCCCGGGTTGACGTTGAGTTCTGGGACACCCTGTATATCATATAATGGGACGTCCATTCATCATGTGAGGCTTTTGGGGGCAGGGTGGTGGGTTTGATAAAAAATCACAGAATATTAGGTGGGGAAATTTTAAATATCACGACGTATCACCAAGGGGAAGCGTGGTCCCAAAATTCCTGAAAAATCGATCACGTGATTAATGGACGCCTCCTAACCATAATCTGCAGATATTTTTGTACCAAGTATCTATGTCAGAAATTGAAATTATAGACTCATAAAAAAATATAACCAAATATTTTTGGTCAGTTTAAGTTTACCTAAGCTCTAAGATTTACCAACAGCTCATAATGCATTGGTTCTATTTTTTCTATATAGTTACAATAATTAATACTGTTTCTCCATTTCGGATTGACGTTGAGTTCTGGGACACTATCTATATCATAAAAGGCGACGTCCATTTGTCACGTGAGGCTTTTAGAGGTGAGGGGGCGTTTTGGCAAAAAAAAACGAAATATCAGGTGGCGAAGGAAGAGGTCAAGTAAGATATAACGTGTATTTATTTTTTAGCAGAACTTTCAAAGATTATCAAAAATTTTACGATTTTTACGAAATCACATAGTGTTTGGTGTATAAAAATACACATAGTGTTTGGTGTGAGAGGGGAGGGTAATTTTAAATATCACGACGTATTACTAAGGGGGAGGGGTGGTCCCAAAACTCTTGAAAAATTTATCACGTGATCAATGGGCGCCTCCTAACCATAATCTGCAGATATTTTTGTACCAAGTATATCTGTGTCTATTACTAAAACAATAGAACCAAATATTTTCGGTCAGTTTATTAAAGTTCTTCTACCGTCTTCTATTTCCAGCACGACCCAGAACAATGTGCTCCAGGCGGACCCGACGGCAACTACATAATGTTCGCCCGCGCAACATCCGGCGACAAAGCAAACAACGATCGCTTTTCGTCGTGTTCCCTGAGGTCCATTGACCCTGTGCTGAACACAAAAGCACGTTCCACAAAAGGATGCTTTACAGGTAATAAATATGTCGTAGATTTTACAACAATCACAAGCTCGTAATAGTTCATCTAAGCTATAAACTCTATTTCATATATTGTCTCGTTAGGAATATACCGTAACTTGGGATATGCTTTAATAAAATAGATCCACTTTATGTCGTTTTACGGATGGAAAACATTTATGTAACATATCGTAAATGTTTAGTTACAAACTGTAAACTTGCGAACATAAAATGAAAATTGAGTCAAATATTAATTTGATAGATACTACAGGTTTGTGATGTTGTAGCGCATTAAAATTTCTTGCATTTTTACGGTCCTATTCAAAATTTATATGGAAACAAAATTGAAATTTGATGTTCAGGATTTGATATCATAATAAGTCAGCTATTTCTTGCAAATGACATTTAAAAAAAACTATGATCAAGTACGAGATGAGCCAAATATTAATTTGATTGATACTACAGGTTTGTGATATTGTCAGCTATTTGTTGCAAATTAGTTAGTATCTTTCCATTTTATGAGAACATGTATCGCACAACTTCTTTTTAGAATTGCCCAAGAAACATGAAATTTAATTTTAATTAGAATTACTTCTTACACACCACCTAATCTTAATTATTATCATTAACTAAGATTCTGTTCTTGTTCTGCCGTTAATAAATAAGCCATGATATCGGATTGTTGCTTCCTTAAGGGGGGAAGTCCATATAGACGCATGAAAATAGGTCATATTTTAAAAATATTTTTGAACGTGATGGAATAATTTTATTGTTTTTAAACTTTGACATAACTTTAATTAACCCTTTTAGAATACAAAAAAAATATTTAAAAAAAAAATTATTTCAAAATGGCGGCTCAGCATAACTTTTTGTGGACTGCCTCCGGCGCGAGGTCCAAAACTGCTGCATTTCTCACTCATCAACCGTCGATCTGAAAAAAATTTTTTTTAATGCTTTCTTTTGATAACATATCAATGGGAAGGATAAACCTATAAAATTGAAAAAAAAGTATAAAATTCAATGAAAAACAAGCCTTTGAAAAAAAAATCTGAATTTTTGGCTATTTTTTTGACATTTTGGGCTCCAGAAAATACTTTATGAACGCGAAAGATCTAAAGATTTAGGTTTATCCTTCCGATAATAATATAGAGAAAGGCCTCACCAATTTCAGACAAATCGATACATAACTTTTTGAGCTACAACAGCAGCAGTTTTTGAAAACACAGTTTTGAGATAATCGCGTTTAAAGATTTAGTAAAGGAAAATGACCAGTTTTAGTTACTTACCGATCAATCTGCAATATCAGGTCTATACAATAGTCCTTCCTTATCTTCAAAAAGCTGATTTTCTGTAAGTTGTTGTTATTTGTGAGCTGTACCAGCATCTTTTATTTGTGAAAGGCTGCTACGATCCTAACAAGTTATTCGCGCCTCATCAGTATTATCAGCATATGCTTTAGCATAAGTACCAACAGTCAAATTCAGAAGGTTCATTATTCTTAATATTGAACTAAAACCTTCAATAAATATCCTAGCTGCAATATATGGTGAAATTTCAACTACCCTTAGTCCACAATGTGGGTGTTTTGGTGATAATCCGACTATAGTCGCCAAACTGTCGCGTTGAAACTTTCATTCGCGTTCTGCGTATGATCACCAAGGCATCGTTCAAGTGAATTATCTTTGGACAAATCTTCATAAATTGGTGAAAGATGATGTTTCATTTCTTCACCAAGTAATGGAGCTAAATCTACGTCTAGAGGATCTTGACCACTGGCACTTTCATTATGACTTGTACTGGCGTCAATTTTTTCACCTGCTTTATCAGTAAACTGATTGCCCTGATAACGTCTTTTTTAGTGTTATTTTGTGCAATATTACTTCATTACTTTGCTTACCTTTTAGATAATTCGGCATTTTTACGTATTGAAATGAACTGAACACTACGAATTTTCCAGCTAAACTAACTATATTTCTCGACTAATCTTTGTTCGTATACCAATATTACACATGTACTAAGGTACATAGAAGTCTTCCGGTTGTAGGTCAAAAGAAGTATTTCTAGTTATTATAATGAAAGAGACCTTTTTCACTCGAAATTTAACAATACGCTTGATCGCTTGACAATGCGCACTCCGGCCCGCCCCGTTATGTTAGCTATAACTTTGTTAATATAAGAGATTTTTTTTTGTCGACTCGTTAATATACGCTCAACATACTATACTTGCAGATTATCGAAAAAAAAAATTTTCAATTTTTTGAAAATGTTATATGGACTTCCCCCCTTAATAAAAATTTAATTAAAAGCTATAAATATTATTTCCCATAATAAAAGTTCTGTTATAAGTACTCAATTCTTTGTTTAACTATTCTTGTCTATTCTTTAGAATGCAAACTTTATTCTCTTGAATGGATTAGGCTTGTATTGCTTCCTAATAATAGTCTGTAAAATTTAATAGAATATTGATAATGATAAAATTTTCCTAATTACTTAAGCTTGGTTCTGATTGATAATGTATTTAAATTTGATAGATAATAGGTTAAAGATAATCCTTTATGAAAACATTGGAATCAGTTAAACCTCTAAATAATATCTTGCAGATAATTTTGTATCTAAACCCATTAATTTGAATGATAATTGATTACTTTTGTAGTTAAGCTAATCTGGATTTCTTCATATATAAATTGTTTTGTTTTTCTTACCCAGAGCCTCAGAATTCGATATGTGGCAATGGTGTGGTTGAACCTGGTGAAGAATGTGATTGTGGTTGGGAAGAAGACTGCAGGGACTCCTGTTGTCATCCTCAAAGGCGCAGGACACCTCCACCAGATGAAACGCCCTGCACGCTTACTGCACGAGCCGTTTGCAGTCCATCTCAAGGTAAGAAGATATATAAAAAAAATATTTTTTACTATCAAAAAATAAAAACCTAGAGTTATACTATTTTTCTTAATAAATTTTGCTTTTGCCATAAACATACTTGTATTCGACTTGATCATTTGAGCATATATGGATTTAGTATAAAAATAATCTTCATATTTTTGTTACATAAACAATATTTTGTTATTGTTGAAAATTCGTAAAAATGAATGTATTTGATTTTTTAATTTTTCAAAATTTTTATTGGCCTCGCTTACTTGAAGCACATCGTTTCATACATTTCGTTTTCTACATTATTTTATTTAATTCATTTTTACGTTTTCAAAAATGCATAATTCGATTTTGATTAAACTTGACATACATTGTTACTACACTTTACTAAATATTTGACAAAAATTTAAAGTTGGAACATTCAACAGTTTTTAAGATATGCGAAGTTGATGGGTGGCTGGCTCCGCTCTCAATACTAGTATTGAAACGGATTGTACGTTTCCAAAAATTCATAATTCGATTTTGATTAAACTTGACATACATTGTTACTACACTTTACTAAATATTTGACAAGAATTTAAAGTTGGAACAAGCAATAGTTTTTAAGATACGCGAGGTTGATCGGTGGCTCGCTCCGCTCTCAATACTAATATTGAAACAAATTGTACGTTTTTAAAAATGCATAATTCGATTTTGATGAAACTTGACATACATTGTTACTACACTTTACTAAATATTTGACAAAAATTTAAAGTTGGAACATACAATAGTTTTTAAGATATGCGAGGTTGATGGGTGGCTGGCTCCGCTCTCAATACTAGTATTGAAACAGAGTGTACGTTTTCAAAAATGCATAATTCGATTTTGATGAAACTTGACATACATTGTTACTACACTTTACTAAATATTTGACAAAAATTTAAAGTTGGAACCTATAATAGCTTTTAAGATATGCGAAGTTGATGGGTGGCTGGCTTCGCGCTCCAATACTAACATTTAATGCGTTCAGAAAAATTTATTTTAGATTTTCTGAAAGAGATCCAGATCAATGTATCTTGTCGAATATTGATTTAATCAAAGATGCGGGAAAAATAAAATAAATGATATCTATGTTACACTTTATTAAATTGCCTGTTAAACCTTTATATTAGGTATCTATAAGTTCTAAAATAGTCTCTAAAAGCGCTAACAATCTTGCTGAATTAAGCATTTTAACAGACAAATTATATGAAAATTACAGGCTTTATATATATATGTAATGTTTTTCTTTACTTTTTGGTTCATTTCTCAATATGCCACGGACCCCCATTTTTATTTCGTGGACCCCTAAATTTTGTTTTTCCGGCCTTGAAAGTTGCCATGGACCTCTGGGGGTCCACGTGGACCACTTTGGGGATCACTGTTCATCTTTTTCTTTTTTCTATTAATACTATTGCGTCTTCATTTAATTCTGTCGAAATTTTTACCTGATATTAAATCTATTTCACCACCTTTTCCTTTCTTTTTGTTAATTTTACTACTTATTTATAAAAGTTACGAAGTTCATTTTTTCATTGGGATTGTTTTTACTACATTCAAAGATTCAGTCTAGTATAAATATGTGGAAATATGCAATGTAAATAAAATTGTTACATGAGAATATATAAAGTTTAATGTGCAAAAGTTAACAAACTAGATCTGCCAGTAACACTCCACTTCGTGCAGTGACACCGTTTTTGTTATAGACCACCATATGGATGAAACTGTGTAATAAACTAGGTCGTAGGAGGTGAAAATATGAAATTTTTAATATTTTTTTTTATTCTCAAGGGCCTTGTTGTACAACCGCCTGCCAGCTACGTTTCGGCGACCGGTGCCGTTCCGACAACGGATGTAGAGACGCTAGTTATTGCGCCGGAAGCAGCGCTCTGTGTCCGCCGTCTGTTAACAAACCGAACAAAACAATTTGCAACGAAGACTCTGTATGCTATATGGGTGTAAGTATACATATGAATTAAAAATATATAAATTATGCGAATTTTCTTCTATTTATACTGAAAATTTTAATTCGAAAATTGCTAATTAAACTGAGATAGTAAAGATGAAACTAGAAGATTACTGATACTTTTTACTTTTTATGCTTAAAATACTTGATTTGTGTACGATGAACAATTGAAAATTAAGTGTGGTTATGTCAGAAATAACGAAATGGTTTTGTGTAAATAATCTAGTCCTCAATAATGATAAGACCCAAATCATATCTTTTTGTACAAAAAATCGTTTATCCAATAATATTACTTCTTTAACCATCAATAATTCTGCATATAATTTTTCACAAGTATCAAAGTTTCTTGGTATCCATATTAATAATAATTTAAAGTGTTCTGATCATATTTCTATTTCACTATCACCAACTTTATCTAGAACATGTTTCATGTTGCGCACCCTAAAACCCAAACTCGGTTTAAATTGCTTACTATCAGTTTATTATAGCAACTTTTACTCTCACGTTCCGTACTGCATCCAATTCTGGGGTTTTTCATCCGAACTAATTAAAATATATAAGCTTCAGAAAAGAGCTATTCGAACAATTTTTTTCTTGCCCAGTAAAGCCTCCTGCAGACCCATATTTAAAAAACACAATATTCTAACTGTCTCATGCATTTTTTTGCTGGTACATTATCTTTCATCAAAAACAATTCGAAACTTTTTGATATGGCTTCGTCCTCCTCAAACTACAACACTAGACACAAACTTATTAAGGCGCGCACATATAAATTAGAGAGCTCTTTAAATACGATCGACGGTCTAGATATGAATAAATTTCCACTCAATATCCGAAACTTAGACAGAAAAAAATTTCATGCTTACCTAGTCAAACTTTTTAAAAAATTAGATTTTTATTATATTACTGAATTTTCTCAATTTGATTTCAATAACTATTTTCTTGCATAATCCTTATCCTTTATCTATGTAGTCTGACCATTTGATCGCAAGTACAACCATGTTTTTTTTATTATTTTTTTATTGCTATTTTAGTAATTTAAATTTTTTACGGTTTTAAATGAGTATAACTTTCAACCTTGTGCAAGAATTTTGAGCTTGACTGGTGGTCAAATAGACTTTAATATGATGAACTTGATGATGAACATTGTATTTAATGTTCGAATGCTTTTTTCAGCTCTTTTTTTCAGAAGCGAAATTTGCGCATCTACTATGATTATTATAAAATTAACATACTTTTAATATTAATTATGAATAAGCTTGACAAGAGCCTGGAATAGTATCTATTATTATTGATTACGGCTTGCTTATGAATAAATAAATAAATAAATAAATACCGATGCTTTTTTATTTTATTTTCAAGTTTAATCTATTCTCAACTAAGCTCTATCTCTCTCTTTAATTTTGTGAAATATTTTATGGATTTTCCCAGGAATGTACTGGCTCCATTTGCCTGGCTTACGGTCTGGAATCGTGCCAATGCACCCGTACAGATGATGATCCTGCTACGAGATCTTGCGAATTATGTTGCCGAATTCCGGCTTCCGCAAGCAATTTGCTTTTCGGTGATTTCGAAGGCGATGGCGAACGCGACTTATGCGTTAGCTCATTCCATTTGAACGAGGCACCTTATGATGTTCCGGATGCTCATGTTAAACCTGGCACGCCTTGTAACGACTATAACGGTGAGATATAAATTTTAGTGTAAAGTAGTACAAGCTTCTTTACATCCTTATTGTTTTTACGAAGTGTTCATTCTAAATTTATAGTATGCTATAAATTTATTTATTTTTAATAATTTACAGGTTATTGCGATGCTAGCCACGTATGCAGACTGGTTGATCCATCAGGCCCCCTTGCAACTTTAAGAAGACTTCTGCTATCCGAACGAAGTCTAGCAGGAATCAAACAATGGGTTACTAAACATTGGTATGCAGTTGCATTATTGGCTGCTGCTATTTTGGCTATGCTGGTGAGTATAAAAATGGTTATATTGATATCTCATTATTGTATATTGTATATATTTTAGTATAGATATATATTTTTTTCATATTATTATCCATAATTTCCAGGTGATAAGCACAAGACTCTTAGGCAAAAAATCAGACGTAAAATTAAAGTCAGTAACCATTATGCATGGTAGCCCTAATGATCCTATTATAATACCTCCAGACTTAAGCAACAATGGACAGGTATTTAATATATCAGAATTTTATTATATTTTGAATTCTGATTGTATTATATTAACTTATTTTTATATTTACTATTTAGGTAATAGTTCATACTGCTGTGCGATCTAAACTTCCCCTAAAGAAACGTGTTCGTGACGCAAAGTTTCGATCCAAAAAATCTAAAAATGCCACGAAAACAAGGACAACGGTACAAGCTAATCACAGATCTGCAAATGATAATTCTAAAAATGTTAATAGAAATCTTGCAGCGGCATCTGAAAGTCCTGCTAAGTTAAGAAAGAAGAAACGAGTGAGTACTTTAGACAGTAGAATTAAAATTATCGTGCTTATTTATTAATTGGATTTAGCGTCTGATTTCGCTGCATGTTGAAGATAATGCTTTTCACGATATTAATGTCGTCGATATTATTTTTATTTTGTAATAAGTTATATCGGAATTTTTTTGTTAATCGTCATATAACGGCGTTATAAGTTATATTAGCTACGGCAAGATTTTATCAAAATTTAGTGATCGATTTTTTTTATTTATTACACCCAATCAATGATGAAGTGTGAAAAGGTAGTACCTACTTTATTTTGCTTAAACGCTTATGGTTTGGTGCTTATATTTAGTTTGCAGTTGGATGGTTGTAGTGTAGATGTTATGTAGTTCTGGTCCATATTCTGCAGTTCAGAAGTAACATTATTTTATTGTTCAATACAAGGTATCTGCTCCAATTGTTGCCTCTGATGAACCGATGCAGTGCGCACCAGAAGTAGCAATCCCGCATGCCGCCGCCAATGTAGTTCCAAGTAAATCGAAGAAGCATTCTCAAAATAAACGTAAAGATAGAAAACAAAAGAAGAAAGAAGTTATAGATTATAGTGCAGAACAGGCAAAACCGTCCAAACAAAGGGATCCAATTAGCAAAGTCCAGCAATGGCTTCTAGAATCTCCACAGCCAACAGTATTACCCAAGTCGAAGTCTACGCCAGTTGATTTAACTAATAGGAGCCCGAATAAACACAGATTAGGAATTTATAGAAATGATAAATGCAAAAGTATTGGAAACTTACAAGATAAAGAGAAAATGCGTTTGCAAGTTGTTTACAAGCCTCCATTCAAATTTAGTTTAAAACTGTGCAAAAATGACCATACAAAAGTGGTCTTAGACAGAATAAGCAAAGATGGAGCAAAAAGAGCTAGGTTTAGAGAAAATGTTCATCCTATGAGAACTGCTTTGTTAGTGAAAACTAAGGATGAAAGTAAAAATAATAAATCGGGTGATGGTACTACTAATGCTAACGATATAGCTGTAAATATTATGAATGTTCCAAAAAGTAATAGTAATTCCGAAGTCAATAATCTAAGCAACAATACATCCACTTGTAATACTTATGAAAATGTGCAAACAATTGTAGCTGAAGAATTAGCGAAACGAAATAAAAAAGTGGATGGTGGAATTTTCAATCAAATGCAGTTGGACGAATGTGCCATTAGGGCGCTGCCGATCAAAATGAAAAGCAGTAGTAGTTCTAATTTAGACTTCAGACACAATCAGAACTCACCGACAAACCTTCAAAGCCAAGATCATTTAGGTAGAAGCTCGCAAAAATTATTTAAGTATAGTCAAGAGCATTTAAACAAGACAAAAGACTGTGACAAAATGTTAAGGGAACCGCTAAAGTATTTTAACAGCGATCAGTTGAGAAAACCCAAAAAGCGTCTTAGTGTGTCAAATAATGACTTAAATTCCTCTCAAAAGAGAACTGTGATGTCAAATGATATTGATGGTCTTAAACCTTGTGATAAGCCAACAGAATACAAAGGGCCTGATTCAAAAAATAAAAACGTACAAACCAGTGAAACTAAGGAACAAATTAAACATAATTTAGCTAATTATCCAGAACATAATAATTTAACACAAAATCCCATATTTCAGCCTTTTCAGCAATCTGATTTAAATATTTTATTACCCGACAATCAAAATGCTGAAGGCTGTTGATAATAAATTATCTATATAAGACTTTTTTTTACAGAGTATAAGTTTTACTGCCATCTTTGTTAATTACGTTTTTACATTTTATTAGTAACCAATTAGCTTAATTAAGGCTTAAGTTGTACTTATTGTAAGCATGAAGATATTTTACACACTCGTTAATGCTATTATACTAACACTGTGATTTATTACAATTAATTTAACGCGTTAATATTGATTCGATATACGTAGTATCGGTGGTGTAGCGTTCCGAGGGTTACACAATTTGTAATAATACAATGTGAATTTATTATTTTATAAGTATTATCGAATACTTTATAAAAATGATCAATCAATTATCTAATAACAAATTTTTTTCTTCCGCCCCTTACGGATAAACGTTACTTTTCGCCTCTGCATACTATTAAAATTGGTAGTTTATTATAGTACATTTTTACGGATTTTTAGTGAACGAAACTATCATTTATTTACGTTATAGTATTGTGGATTAAAACGGTGAACTTTCATTGTTGAGTGCCAAGATCGAAAACATCAATCATTTCCATTTTTACAATAAAGATACGCTACAAGATATATCAATCCGCCGATTGAAAATTGTTCTCTAGGTGATAGTACTATATGAAACTCAAATTTTTGAGATGAAGAAGACTGGAATGTACAAACTAACAAATATTGAAATAAAACATGATTAAGACAAAAATATAACAAAGACATAATAACGTAGATTCATAGTAATAACGCAAAATTGTTTTATATAATATTATCACCGCAAATATAATTATCATTTGGTGATTTGATTTGAATTGTAAACGTTCATGAGCTTGTCTTGAAATACATTTAAATTTACTCTTGCCTCTCTTGATCTAAATCATTGATTATATTTTCATGTCCACCAACGTATTTTTGTTAAGAAGAAAATTTAAAGATAATTATTTAGGTGTAAGACTAATACATCAATAAACAAGAAATACTACTATATATACCCAGAAAATTCCAAAATTGTAACATATCTCTACAAACAGATTTCTCTATATATTTTAGGCAAAAATATTTCAATGCAGATTTTTGTCATACTAATAATACATTAAGTCGGTGATTAAATATGAATAATATATATAGATGCCATTAAAATAATCGTGTTGAAATGGTGATATTTTAACATGAAATGTATATAAAATTCTCAATATATAAATTATAATCTTATCTTTACAAATTGAATTTATTGATTCAGTTTGTGAAGGTTTTAGGTTTGTCGTCAAAGCTTTTAAATTTAAATATATGTTATAAATTTGTCATGTTCAAGATATATACACTCCATAAACATATTTTACTACTAATGATTTGTACTTAATGAATATACTGTAATAATTTACTTTATAATAAATTAGTTTATGTTATTGAAATAATTTTATTATTAGGAAAAACGAATAATTCAATATGCACTCAATCTTTTTTACTAAAGATGCATTATAATTTTTTTTTAAATTTACTTTTATAAAAAAAAGTTTCAACGCGTGTTTGAATATCTTTCGAAACGGAGGAACGGCAGTTTCGAATTGGAAATATACGATGATTTAAAAAATTATCGCAAATTTAATTTAACAAAATATAATTTAATTTAATTTATGTTTGCACTATTTCTGATTGAATATTTTATTACACCTGTTTTAATTTAAATTTCATTTCTCGGAACGTCTAAGTTCAAAAATATTAATGTATAAAATAAAATCTATATATTAATATATATATATATTTAAAATTTCAACTTACAAATCAAAGAGAATCATTCCATTTATAACATCTACCATTTAATTAATAAACTTGTTGTAGATTTTTCAACAGCTTTGTAGGATGTGTGAAAATCGTGTTTAATTTTATCAGAATTTTTATCTTTATATATTTTATTTAAATTTTCATTATTATGTGGATCACAAACTGGTAAAGTAGAATATACTTCTTCTAAGTTTTGAATATATTGTTTATTAGGTACTCCTTCGGCCGGTCTATTCTGAGCGCCTCCATTCAAGCAACCTATAATAGAAATAAATATATATATTTATATATATATATATATATATATATGTATATGATCAATTATTACCTGATGGACAAGCCATAATCTCTATGAAATCGTATTGAACTTTTCCGCGTTTCATTTTTTGCATTATATTTTGTATATTTTTAAATCCATTGGCTATAGCAAAACGTAAAACTACTTCATCATTCACAGTTAATGATGCTTCTTTGAAATCAGGATTTCTAAATTTTATAGAAAATAAATTTCTCATTTAAATGATTTTCAAACAATTTTTTTTCTACCAAAAGATGTTCTTATCATTTTTACCGAACATTTGTGAAAACAGGTTCAGCATTTTCAATGTTGAATAAATCTCTAGCAGCTTGTTTAAAAATAAAACTGGAATATCCTCCTGAATTCGAACCCTGCTGCGAATATAATTTTACTTTTTCTTCTGTTTTTGAATTTTTCCAAATATCATCCAAATTCCGCGATTCAACTTCACTTAAGTGTATATTATCAGACTGCAACATTTGTTCTAGTTCAACTAAAATACAAAATTATTTAAAACAAGCAATGCATTGTAGTTACGTAATTTTTCAATATAATTACTTACTTGGCGTTATTACACAATCAACATCTCGTTTGTTCAATAACTCATCATAAAAATCTTGACGTGATGCCTCCAATTTTTTGTCATAACAAGGCATTAATGTTACATGATACACTCCTTAAAAAAACAAGTTTAAAATGAATCATAATCTTTAAATAATGTAACAGGGATCAAAGTAAAACATACCTCGTTCACCAGCTATATCTTTTACTAAAGATCCTATGACTTGCTGTGGTGACTTTGCTGTAGATATGTTTGGTAAAATATATCCATGTGCTTTCTCAGCATAACAAACCCAGCCTAAAAAAATATTATTGATAACTATTCTATATAATTTGCAGGTATAAATATACATAAATAAACGAACCTGGACAAGCCGATGCCAGCATGGGCAAATTTTGTTTTGAATGATATCTTTCAATAAATTCTGTAGCATTTTCTACTAAACTAATATCATCTGCTATTTTCATATCAATAACTAAATCAGCCCCAAGGCTCTTAAAGTATCCTACAATCGAAGGACAGATATATAAGCAAACGCATCCAACTAATTTAAATTTTACATTTAATATTCACCTGAAACTTTTTCTGCGGTATCTTGAACAGATAAACCATATTTAATGGATAAAGAAACAATAGGTTGAACGGCAAGACTAATAATTACAAGTTTAGAATCATTTGAAGAAGATAACTTAAGAGATTTGTTTAACGTTAAAGCTTTTAATAATTCTTCTTGTGATTGCTCAGTAATGAGAACACTTTCTGCAGATGTAATACAGCCGCTGCATGCTAAACAATCGGCTAGAGTAATCTCAACTTTGGAAATCTTTTCTGGCACTTTCTACAAATATTATCTATTGTACACAAAATCATATTTTTAGAAAAGATTTAATTACATACAACACGATCAGCTTTAAAACCTGCATCATTAAGTTTTAGCTTTGCGCCGGTTAAAGATTTTTCTTTTTTGATTTCTACTGGTTTTATACATTCCTATAAATATAGTAATAGTATTATTGTTTTATGAACTCTTATAAAATATTTGTAAATATGTACCTGCGAGGGTGCAATGAAATCATCCAAATCTGTTAATCGTAAAGCACCACTAAAGTGTGAACTCATTTTAGAAAAATAGAGAATGAATACTTAAAAGTTCAAATTCAAATTTATAATAGTATTAATTGAGATAACTATAATGTTTTATTGATTTTAAAATTAATGCTAGTCACTGTAAATATTAAGTATTTGCAAGAACATTAATTATTTGATGATGATGATGTAAAATTCATAACATTTCTATAATAAATACTTTTTTATTATTTTTTATAATAATTGTGAATATATTAATATTTTATATCACATATTTATATCGTTTTTTAGTGAAATGTCAAATATTTTGACAGTAAGTGACAGTTCTGATAAATCACGTGGTGTTGCTTTTTGTGCCATCTTTGATATTAATCGAGCATCTCGATGGCGGGTATTTTAAATATTTGAAATTTAATCATTTTTATCCAAATGTTATATATAATTTAGGATCAATACCAATATATAGTTAATTAGTTTAATTCTTTACAAACTAATAAAAATTATAAGCAATTACAGCATCATATATTAAAAAACCAGAAAATGCAGAAAAATTTATATAGTCATTCAATATTTTAAGTAAAATTTACAATTTTTTTTTGAAAATTACAGATCTGTATCTCATTTACTTATTCCAGATTAACAAATTCATAGACATTAATAATATTTAGAACAATGTATTAAATGCAAATAATTTGCATGCACCCATACGATTGGAATTCATAGAAGTAAAGACAGGTAAATGAAAATCTAAGTAACATTCATGAATTAAATTAAATAAAATAAAGAATATTAATTGCAAATTCTTCATAAAATATATTAGTTTCAATAAGTGTTAGCAAACTCAAAGCATCAGCGATCGCACTCACTCCTAATAAATAATTTGCTATTTTGAAAAGGATGATTTATAACATCATTCTAAAAGATGATTTAATTACAAATGCAATTTATTTGAAATTTCTACTGATGTTTTTATATATTCTTACGTTAGATACATGCAAATGTTCAATTTTTTAAATAAAATTATTATAAAATATATAGAGTGTCCTAGACCTTGACATCCAGGACGCCCAAATGATGTGATAGTATTGACCTTAACAGTCCTGAAAAAAAATATAAAAAAAAAATTCACGGTTATGAAAATTATGAGCTTTCAAGTGCAACTCAGAGCTTTGGTGATTCTTTGATGATCTTACGGTGTTTGGAAATTATGAGCTTTTAAGTGCAACTTTAAGCTTTGAAATTTTTTTGGTTATTGTGGAGTATTTTTACTAATTTTGTTCATTTAGACTCAATTAGAAACAATAATACTATACCTCATATTTTCAAGAATTAAGACCATTTGTTGAACTATGAATTTAAAATGCTAAAATCTTTGAAAGGACCTTTTTTTTAAAAAAAGAAATACTTAAGTGTATTGGCTAGTTTCATCAGAAGTTGTCGCCTTTAATATTTAATAATTTTTACTAGTACACTGGTTCAAACAACTATTGTATTTTTGATCGTATCTGTTAATATTTTCAAAATTATAAAATATAATTAAATATTATGCTAGTAGTGCATTTGGTATGCTGAACTAAGATTGTTAATATATTGTAATATTTTTAACTTACCGTATGGTGTGTTATAGTAATCGCAAATAATCAAATACAAAAATTGCATATATCTTTATGATTAAAATACTTTTAATAATTTAATAATTTTTACTAGTACATTTTGTTCAAACAACTATTTCAATTTTGATCGAATCTATTAATAATTTCAAAATAATAAAATATAAAATATTATACTATACTATTATACCGTGATTTTTGTTAGTATGCTAAAAGATGATTGTTAATATATTGTAATATTTTTAACTTTCCGCAGGGTAAGTTATAGTAATCGCAAATACGCAAATAATCAATTTTTTATTTATTTATTTATTTATTTATTTATATATATATATATATATTATATATATATATATATACATTATTTTCATATCTCAGTCAGGCAGAGGTGCCTGGTATGAGAGATTATGAAAAACAGTTTTCATATTTTATATATACATTTCATTTGACTATAATATCTATTGCATTAATATAATATTTATCATAATTAAAATATCTCTATCTAAGACAAGGAAGACTAAAGAGTTATATATAAACTCTTTAGTCTTTCTTGTCTTCAATTTCCTTATAGTATTTCTTTATTTTTCTTTTAAATTTATCGTCATCATTGGTCATCTTAATATCATTTGGCAATTCGTTATATATTTTGCTGGCACTCTATATGACATTTTCTCAAATTCTTCTATCTATTGTGTTCAATGTGAAAATTGTTGTGTTGTCTAGTGTAGTGTTTATGTATATCTTGATTTATGTCTATTGTTGCACTTGTTTTAATTCGGTTAAATTTCATTTTGTGTATTAGTTTGCATTTCTCTATTTTAATTATATAAATATAATTTTTTTTATATATCTTAACGATTCAAATTCGTTTGAACATTTTGGTATAACTTAGAAAAAATGTATTTGTTTTGAGTGCGGATGTATGGACGATTTCAAGAAGACGGATCAAGTTAAAAATTTCAAAATTTTCAAAATTCCCAAGAATCGAATTTTTTTACAGTTTTGAAAGAAAAATTGAAAGTTTTTGTTCAATTAATTTTTGGTACGGGAAGTTCCGGCAATTTGCCTCAAGGCACGATGCCATGCACCACTAGTTATTTCCTCACATTGTCCAAAACTATGTATAAAATCATAATAGTTATAACTATGTATATGAAAATTATATTTCTTTATCTATGTATATGATTTTCTTCCAAAAGTTAGCAGTGTACTCATCAGTTACCATTGTCCTCCGTATTCCTCGAAGTTGCCCGATACTCGAACCCTCTTTCCAAGTTCCCAAGCTCTGCTGGCGGCAAACGAAACTGCTCCTTATAAGCTCGCTCTCTGCCTCTCACTCTGGCACCCTCCCTTTCAGTTCAGTTGCTTTGTGTCCTTAATCAGAAAGTTTGTGTAGTGCTGTTTCTGTGTTTGTTATATTTGTTTTCCTGTTTTAAATAATGATTACATATTAGATAATCGTTTTATATTGTGTAAAAATGATTTTTGTTCTGTCTCTTGTCTTTCA